GTGCAGTCCCCGGAAAAACAACTAATCCAAGTGGTATAAGCAAGCAGTTTTTTGAGTTATACATATTTAATTAATCTTTTAGAGTTAAGATAAATAACATATTTATAATACTAAATAAATAATTAGAACTATCAAAAATTCTCTTAGTATTAGCAAATATGTTAAACTATAATATAGAATTTAGTCTCAAATATATTATTTTGTTATTAATAGGTATTTTTTTACTAAAAAATAACTTACAATAAAACTATAATTAATTGAGTTATACTAATAATAATATATACCAAATTCTATCTTCTAAAATTGGTTCTTTTTGACTTTGATCTACTTTAGGTTTCGTTTCTTTACATGCCATTGCATAACTTATACGTTTTACATCGCTTTCATCAATTTTCTGTTTATCGATTGTATTTTCATCCAGAGGTGGGTTCTTATCATTTTTCGAACATGTATCACGGCTATTTGCATATTTAATTAATTATTTAAGTTATACACTTATGCTAATTTAATTTTAACAACAAGTATAAATATCACAACAGAGTTCTATATAATTATAAATATAACGTGGCTTACTAACATTCAAATTAGTGAGATTTGGTTTTTAAAATCGTGACATTTTTGTAAATATGTTTCCTTTTTTTTAATTTATCAGTCTCGAATTATATTTTAAAATTTTTTTAACTTATTTTAAAATTATAGAAAAAAAAAAATCTATTTATCTGAACGTGTATGTATTAAATACGTACCCAATTACAGGTTTCTCGATACAAGTTTTCTGTCTTACATTTATTGTTTCTTTTAGTGTATCTTTGGTTTTCATCACTTCTGATGGAACACGAACTTGACTTTCAGTTTGAATAAGTTGCATTGGCTCTACTGATACTTTAGGTTCATTATATTTTCCTTTTTGTCCATCTAACGTAACTTGAACTTGTTCGTGTAACGATACATTATATTTATTCTTCTTTCCTTTGAGTTTAGAATCGTTAATCTTGTTAACTTTGGTTCTAAATAATAACAAAGAAATTTTTAATTTATTTCTGTAAAATTAAACTGTTCAATAATTAAAGAGAAGCATTAAATTTCTTAACAATAATAATAAAATGATAAAAAAATATTAATAAAAAATATAAACGAAAGGTATTAGGACTCTATTAAAGTAACTCTAAACTTAAAAACTGTTAAATTAGTTGAATTTTTTTTAATTATTTTGAACATAGTTTGGTTAATTTGTATATTTAAGTAAAAGTGTTTTTAAAAAAGTCAAAGAATTTCAATAAGTAGGTTAATTAGATTTATGTTGTAATTTATTATTACGACAAAAGCATATGTATCAATATTTTTGTTCACATCAATATATAAACAAAAATATTCATATTAAATATACCTATATATATATATATATATATATTATATTTTAAAAATGTACTTAATTAATGTATAATACTGAATTAAATATATATTTTAGATGCATTTCAAATTTTACTAAAATTTATCATTTACTACTTCTATTGAAATTAAAATTTATTCATACCCGTTTTTAATTACTGTCGTGCCTTCGGTTATGATTTGAGTTGTGTTTTTCTTACTTTCATTATTGTTTTTCTCGGTACTTTTAGGCATTTTTTCGTTCCTATATATATTTTATAGAAAAATAGATATATTATTTTAAATTAATTACAAATTAAATTAACTAAAAATAATAATCTGAAAATTATTTTTACTTATACTATCGCGTTTTCGAGTTTCGTGTGTAGTGAATAAATTATTTTTCTAGTATCTTAGAATATAATATATAATTTAAAATTAAATATCCGGAATTTATATACAAAGAAATAATTCTAATGATACTTAATAAAAATAATATTTAAACCTTTTTTATTGGATTTAATTATTCTTTTCGAAAATCACAATTCAAAAAGTAAAACATTTTTTAAGTACAAGCACGAAAAATTAAAAATTATTATATGAAAATTATAATTATGGAAGTATCATATAATATTTATTAAAAACCTCAATTTTTACATTTTTTTTTCAAGTTTTGTATATATATTACAAAATTATACGTGAAAAGACATACAATATTAAAGTTCTCCGTTTGCAAATGATTAAATGTTATAATGTAATAAAATAATCAACAAATAAACAATGATTTACTTTTTTGTCTGTTTGATCTTGTTCATTTTATTTATTTGAGAATTCATTCTTTAAAAATTAAAAATTGAATACTCTGAAGCTGAAAAAAAGAATTACACCATAATAAGAACATCAACCTTTTTTTTTTTTTTTTTTTTTAATGAATTTAATACATTTAAATTATTATTGAATAATAATAAACCAGTAACAATAAGTGGTTATGTGATAGGTGAAATCAAGATCTTTAAATATATTGATTATTTGTACAATAGGGCGGGTGTTTTGACATGGAGATAAAACATAGGATAAAGTGCAGTTGGATAAAGTGGAATGAAACGTCGGACGTTTTATGCGAAAGAGATTTCCAATGATGCTGGAAGGTAAATTTTACAGGAGTTTAGTGAGAACAACTATGCTATATGATTCAGTGAGTTGGGCGGTTGACAGAATAATAGAATAAAGTATGAATGTTGAGGAAATGAGAATGCTTAGATGGATGAGTGAAGTGACAAGAGAAGATGGAATAAGGACCGAATATGTGAGAGGTAAAATAGGTATAGCGTCTATTGTGGACAAGAGAGAAAATAGACTGAGATGTTTTTAGCAAGTGACGAGACGAGGAGAGAGGAATACCAAAAAAAGATGATTAAATACGATTGAGAATCACATAAAGGCCATTGGTATGTGCGTAGGAGATGTAGAAAATTGAGACGAATGGAGGCTTAGAAATTCCAGGGAATTCAATATAAGCGATTAGATGATTAGATGTGATTATGAAACATGACCGATTACGCTAAACTTAAATGTGCTCAGTAGTTAATACACGTGCCCCTATAGATATTTAATACATACGTGATACAAGGTCGCTATACTCTTCGCGAGAATATTTCGAGGATTCGAAATGCTTGGATTGAATATGTTTGCTTTCCAGCTAGATATTCACACGAAAATTCGAAAATTTTTCAATATAATTGAAATATTATTACGTTCAAACTTCGGTCTACTCTTCACTGGTAGTTACGTTCAAATGTGGTTTTCAAATCGGTTAAATTGACTAAATAAATGTGCATCCAAGATACCACGTACGTGTATTGTATTTATTTAGAATATTTTTTGGCCAATACCCGATAGCAATACTAAAAATGATTTTTTCTTATATAATAAACTGCATCGTTATTAAACTTCATTGTAAGAGATTCGGCTTATTCCCGTAGGATAAAATCTAGCATGATTTAACGACGCCAAGACAAGTGTCATAATTTTTAGAAAGAGTATTATATCAGTTCTACACGTGCAATCAACCATCAAAAGTACATAAATATTAAATATGAATTACAAGGTTTTACTTACATATGTAAGTAAAAATTAAAATTATAGACTACTCGGTTTGAAACTCTAAGTACAAATCCTATTGACTAGAAGTATTTTTATAAATCATCACATTTGGATTTGATAGTCTAGTGCAGCGGTCGCCAACCTTTTGGACCTCACGGACCACTTAATACATACTCTAAATTCTACAGACCATTTTTAGCTTAAAATAGCTTTTTACATAAACATCGTTAAATAAATCGATGAGGTATTTTTTTTCGGTCATATTTAACTTGTTATTTTTATTGTTTGCTGCAGTGTATCTATTATCCACATAATACCATGTCTAGGGTCTTATTTTTTTGGGAAATAACAACAAAAAGATTCTGTAAGTACCTAATGTTCAAATTTTTCTGCGGACTACTTAAATTTTCCCCCGGACCATCGATTAGCGACAGCTTGTCTAGTGCATCGTTTCCTACTTTGTGGTACGCATATTCTTTGGAGTTGCTGAAACGGTCTCAATGAGTACGTGAAATAAAAATTAGTGGTAGCAGTACGATTTAAAATTTGATTTATTTTAAATGGTCGAGTTTGGAGACATATGTAAAACATGTATACTATTAAAATTAAAAACTTATCACACAAATAAAAATAACATCGACATAAACCTTTGTATAACCTACCTGAATATGCAATATATAATATATCAATACTTTTTTTATTTATTTAAAGTAAAATAATATTTATGTACAATATGTACATTTTTGGAGCAAATTTTAAGCAGTAATTTTGAAACGATATAACAATACAACAAGTAAAACAATCGTGAACAAACGAGAAAGACAAATCCATCCAGTGATCATAAAATTATAAATTTGTTCACCCATAAAAACCATTTTTTTTACATTTTTCGTATGATATTATAGTGTAATTAAAAGTATTAGGTTGCTTGTTAGTAATATATTTATAATATTACGAAATAAGTATAATAACAAATAAAAAAATAAATTGGTCATCAAATTAACATAGGGGTAATACGACAACTTAGTTAATAGCATTTTGAAAGACTAAGGAGAACGCAATGATCTGTCGCGTGAAAACATTTTCTTTTAATTTATTTAAAAAAAATTATTGGGTGATATGCAACAGATGGATTTGTTTCCAATACGATATATTTATCAGTTATTTACTTTTTCGAACAACATAAGGATTTATTTTTAATAATTATGCAGAACGAACGGGTAAAACATTACCATCATACTATTACTATCAATTGACTATTTTGAGAGAAAAAATTGTTCGTCGACCAGTGAATATCCCTTAAAAAATGCGTTGTTTTCGAGCCTTGGCGTCGCGGAACCGTTTTAAAAAGTGACGAATTCACTATTTTGTTCGGCGAATGGCAATACATAGCGAACCGGTTTCAAATGGCGGGTCAACTATTATGCAAATTTTCATCCAGAGAGCGGTTGAAATATTCGAAGACCTCGAACCACGGTAAAGGTATCACGATCACATTTCAAAATAATCAGTAACGAACGACGTTATCACGTACGAAACAGTTGTTGATTGTTATCCCGCTAATTTTAGTCTTAGAATATCGGAATAAATATTTTGTACTATTTTAGTTAATTTTCGTATTTTGAAAAGTCGTATCGTTTCGCTAGTACTATGATGTTCCTTAGGGCACTAATTATTATATAATATAATGTTGTAAGTCAACGTTCACGCCATCATGTGGTCCGCGAAAAAGAAGACAATTCGAGTATTTTTTGTTCTAACAGAAGACCGAACAGACATTGAAAATATGTCTGAAACTATGCAACTTGCGTTTCAGGTCAGTAGTAATACATTATACGAATGAATTTTCATTAAATCACTATTTATATTTATATATTCCAGGACTGTGTAAGTCATGAGTTTTTCACTACTGCAATTAGTGAAGCAGAAGTTTGTGATAGAAAATTGTTCAAAAAATCTGAGGTTTTTGTTTTTGACCATTTTGAAGGATCAGCTTTTCAGCATGTATTACCATTTTCCAAACAAAATAAAACTGTGTAAGTGTGGTTTTATTGAAAAATATTATATAATACACATGTATAATATATATATTTTTTATTATATTATTTAAATAATTTTATAATAACACTAAAGAATAATTTTTTGAACAATAACCATCATTGTATCTTATTTATAATATTGTGTAATGAAAACAACTTATATCAATGAATTATATTGCCTTTAAATTTATTTTAATATTTTAAAAAGTTAATTTTTTTTTTTTTTTTTTAATTTGCCTTTGTTCGCACATTACAGCTAAAAAAAGTTAAATTACCTTTTAATTTAAATAAAACCAACATTAAATTTAAGTCATTGATTAAATTGTTTTCAAATAGTTTATTTATTATTACCAAGGCTCAGGACTTATAGCACTTAAAATCATAAAAGTAAAAATAAATCTACACTTTCAAGACTAAGGATTTTATGGATTTTCTGAGGCATTTTTCTAAAAAATAAAATGTAAACTGTTCTCTCTGTTCTTGATTATTCTGACGTTTGACACTCAGTTTTATTTTCAACTTTGGAATATCTTTGTTAACCATACAACGATGCCTTGGACGGTGACAAACTATGTGACAACGTAGATAAGATAAGAATTATTTATAAATTTTAATTCTATCAAAAGTGACTTTGTAGGAGAAAACTATAAAAACTTAAAAATCTGGTCAAATAAGCTAAAATAATCAGAAAAGCTGGAAATAAGCATTTTTTTGAAAAGTAGCTGAAAAAAGTAAAAAAAAGCTCTTTCAAATTTCACAACTGTACGTGTTATAACTTGACATACACTTCTATAGCACTCTTCTATATTTTAAGTCAATCCATAAAAATAAGCAAATGCTTTAACTCCCGAGCCCTGATTATTACTAACATTTATTAAAAATCAATTTATATAATTTTTTGTAATACTATTTATAAACATGTCTGATTATTTTTTACTTATATATTTAATATATTTAATCATTTAATGCATTACATTTTTATAATATTTAAGAATAATACCATAGGTATTATTATCATGTATGAAGTAATACTTATAACATAATAATTATATTGCCCTTAATAAAACATTCAAATGATGAATAGCATTTTTTCTTAGTTTCATTTTTTTCTTATTTATTTTATTTTTTAGTATTGTTAGCCCTATTTGCCTAAGAACATGTTTTGTTGAAGCAATTCCTATACCACAAAATAATTCACCTATATATACAATGGCAATGCGAAATATTGTACTAAGTATATCAAACTTAAGTCCTAATGAAAAGGTAAATTCATTTTTATTATACACCTTTAAGTTTGGTTATATTATTGTTATAATTTTTAGGAAAGAGTAAAAGAAAAAATAGAATACATGGGTGGAATTTTTTCTCCTCATTTGCGAGATAATACTACTCATTTAATGGTTGGAAAAGTAGGATCTCAAAAGTATACTGTAAATTGACTTAAATTAAGTTTTTTTTATTTGTATTCCATATTCCATAAACTTAAAATGATTTATATGATTTTTCTTAGAAAGCAATTGAAACTGGAATCACCATTATGACTGAAGAATGGGTAGATGCTGTTTGGGAGGAAAGCATAGTACGTAATACTATTTGTACTGAAAATAAGTTTGATAAATATAAATGTCCTATATTTTATAAACTTGAAATTACTACTTCTGGACTTGACGGAATAGTCCGAGAAAATATTGCTACCCTAGTTGATACTAATGGTAAAATAATAAAGTAAAATATTAAACTCAATTAATATATTTATATTTATCCTTTTGTATAATTCTAGGTGGAAAATACACCCCTCAAATGAAGAAAGATGAAACAAACATACTAATCATATCAAATCCTAATGGTCAGAAATTTACTTATGCACAACAATGGGGTTTACAGTGTTTGAAACCTTCTTGGATTTATGACAGTATAAAAAAAGGCTATATGATTGAAACTCAAGATTATGTAATTAAAAATACATTGCTAAGTTCAACTCCAGCACTATCTAATACTAAACGTAAGACATATAAAATACATAAATGTATCAGTTTTATAATTATTTATTTATATATTTATTAATTTTTAGCTAACTTTTCACAAAATATTAGTGAAATTGTTGTGGAGCCAAAATCAACAATTGAAGAAACATTAAATAACCGTAATATGTTAAAATGTCAGAATGAAAATAATTATAAATCACAAGAAAATTGTACTACACCAAAAAAAAGTAATTAAAAATATCACTTTAATATTATATAAATTAAATTGTTTATTATTATTGGTTTTAATTTCATTACAGATCAGTCAAAAAATGTTAATTATAAAGCTATTTTAAATGATATAAGTATATCTCAAGTAAGAATGGCTGGTACAATTCTTGATGGCTGTAAGGTAAAAATTACTGATTGACAAATATCATTCAATTTGTTATATAGTTATTAATTAAAATTATTTGTGATAGATTTATTTTAGTGGATTTAGTTTAAGTGAAGAAGAAAAATTAAAGCGAATAGTAATTTCTGCCGGCGGAATTAGATATACAGAATTAAATGAATCCATTACCCATATATTGGTTGGTGATTTCACAGCTCCCCTTGCAAAATTATTGCATTCTCTTCAAGAAAAGTATGTTTAGGAAATTTAGTTTTTATGATTTATTTACGATAAATTAAAAATTGGAGTTATATTTACAATTATATGAAATTAATTTTTACATTTTAGACCACATGTTGTGAATCTCAATTGGTTACTTGAAAGTATAAATTTAAAATTCACTGCTCCAGAAGAACAGTTCTTGGCTATGGATTCATCTCATTCATTTACACCTGAATCTCCATCGCCTCTTAGTAAAAAGGTAAATAATTTTAACAGAAATGTACCATCATAATAATATATATAGTATATTAATAATATCGATCAATTTTAATTAATTGTTAATATAAATGTTGTTTTATTTTATTTAGGGATTATATATGATGAAAAATGCATCACTTTCTCAACCAAAGACTGTAGTTAAACCTAAGCCTTTAAATGAAATGGTAATGGATAATCGCCCATTGGATAATTTTATTGATCACTATAGGAATATTGGTTAGTAATTAAAAATTTAAAAAAAAAAATTATACATTGAAAAACAACTATTTTTTATTAAAATATATTGTCATATGATAACAGACAGTAAATAGCAGTAAAGTTTATAAAGATTTATTATTATATTTATCTTAATATTTGATTTAAGTATTTCAAGGATCGATTTATCATAGCTGAATTATATTTTTAATTCATTGATGAATTGCTAAAATGTTATAATTTATGAAATTAAAAATATTAACTTAATATTATATAATTATTGACATAACCATTAATAGTGGCTACTCATTATTAACATTTTTACTATGAGTATATATTTTGTTGATAAACATATATGTGTATATTATTAACACAGAATATTTTGTTTGTTACAAAATATATGTTGTATTATATTAAGCAGTTTTATAATATTTTAGAAAATACTAATTCTGAGACTCAAAGTCAAAAATCTTCTTATACAACTGAAGATACTGTGTCAACTCAAGATAGTAAACTTGAATCTGTATTAGAAGGTAATTAATCGAAATTTGACACAATATTTGTACTGTTTTAAATAAATCTTTTGTAGGATTAAAAATACTCTTACATGATTTGGATAAGCATCAATTACCATCTATTAAAAGTAAAATTATATCAATGGGTGGAATAGCAGTTAGTACTCGTAGTTATCGAGGAAAAATTAATTTTGCTGTTGTTCCAATTGTATTTAATGAGAAATTATTAAATATTAAAGCCACCATAGTTAGCTGTCTTTGGATAGTAAGTATTGTATTACATAATAATAAATATTTTCTTAATTATTTTACTTAATTCTAATTAGGAAGACTGTTATAATAATGTTGAACAAGTTCCCATTGAATATTATCATAAACCAGTTATTTTTAGTGGTTCTACAGCTCTTAAAAACTGTGTGATTAGCGTTACAAATTATGCAGGTTCTGAACGGTATTTCTTGAAAGAAGTTTCATTACTTCTTGGAGCAGAGTAAGTTGATTATAACTTAGAAATTAAAATTATATTTTGATTCTTGTACGTTTCTTTTTAGCTATCAAGATGCATTATCACGAAAAGAAAAACCTCAAGATAACATTAAGATGACTACTCATCTTATTTGTCCTGCGCCAGAAGGACCTAAGTATGAAGCTGCAGTTAAATGGGGTGTACCAGTTGTATCTAAGGAATGGCTACTTAAATGTGTAACAAGCAAATGCCGTTTACCTGAGGATAAATTTCCATTTGTTGACAACAGTGAATACTTATTTTAAATATTAACATAGTACTCAATTTATTAATGATAATCACTTAATACTAATAATAATTAATCTGTTTTAGTAGATTCTGCAGCATCTTCATCTTCTAGAAATATAAGTATAGTTCGTAATGATAGCAATACATCTTTCACTCAAAAACTTACTATAATTGCATTGCCTGAAAATGATTCAGAGTCTGAATTAGCAGTACCACTGAAAGATACTGAAGATGATATTGAACCACCAATTAAGAAAAGATGTTCCATGGAAATGATGAGTCCTACTTCTAAGGCATTAGTGGAACCTTCCAGTAAATTTACACCAGCAATTGCACGTCTCAGATCAAGTTGTACAACACCTATTGCTTCAAAAAGTTTCATGGATAATTTAAAAACCCCTGAAACTCCTTATGGACAGATATTTTGCGATCAGCCTGTTACACCAGAAACAAAAAAAAAATGGAAGCAGTATGTATACAATTTTATTATTTTTGTTCAATGAGTTGCTACATACTTGTAAGTTATCAAGTTTTTTATGAACCCTATCCTGTGCTTTAGTCAGACACTAATTCCTAGCTCTATCCTTTTTTTCATAGACTGAATTGGACTAATAAATTTAAAAATGACCTGATTTTTTTTTAATATGAAAAGAGTGGTGGGCGCGCTGAGCTCTATCAGACACATACTTAAAAATAGTTATATTTCATGATACCTCTGCTCTGAAGAAATTAAACATATCTTAAATAAGCTACTCTTCTGTAATATAATTGTTAACTTATTCTATTAAAGGAAATATTTAAGTATTTTCTTAGCTTAAATATTACTAAGATAGTATTAAGTATATTTATTTAATTTCAGATTTAATATAATATAATCTTTTGGTACAAATTTGATTAAAAAAAAAAAAAAAAAAAAAATGTTAAATCAGTATATTTTTTGATTTATATATAATTTATACATGCATAATTATACATAAATATAAAACTAATACATTTCTTGCTTTGCTAGAAGATAATGAGTTTATAAAAACATTATACATTTTTTTAGATGGATTGAAACATTACCAGATGGTCCTGAAGTATCTCAATCTAATATTAAGAATCAAAGAAATAGCACAGTAAGTTATTTTTATTTACAATAAACTTTTTTTCATATTTCTTGTGATTAATAATCAATCAATAAGTGTTGTATGTATGGTATAATTTTAGTAGTATTTACTAAAATTGGAATTATTATTTATTTTTTTAGCCATTGTCGGAATTAAGACGTCAACTGTATAATAAATTATCACATCTACCAGATAACAAAAAACAAGTAATTTATATGTATTATAAATAATTAAATTCACTTATTTTATTAAAAAAATTAATTATTACAATGATTATGTATATATTCATTCTGCAATAGCATATTTATTAACTATTAATAAAATAAAATTTTTAAAATCATAAAAATGTTAATTTAAATTATTCAATTTATAATTTATTGTTTTTATTGATAATGTAATTTATTTAAATTTTTATTATTATTAATTTATTTATTAATTATTTTTTTTTTTTTTTTGTTAAGATATTTTAGCATCTAAAACTGTTACATATGAACCATTTACATAAACTCAAATATGTGTTAAGAGCAGAATAGCATTACATTTTTTTTGAATTACAATTTTAACTAATTATTTTCTATTTATTAGGAAACCCATGGAAGTAGTTCAACAAGTTTTAGTTTAAATAATACATCAAAAAATTCAAACTTTTCTAATACATCAGTTCATTCTCCGATTGGCGTGGCTGAGATATTCCATAAAACATTACATGAGTCAACTACTCGTAGTAACAAATCTAGTAATTCCTCATTAAAAAATGGTAAAAATATTTTGCAACACAGTCCAATATAACTTTATTATAAATTATTATTTATAATTTCTGGATGTTAGACAACAATCATTAGATAAACAAGAATTCAGAAGGTTTGTAATATAACGTATTAGTTATTTATTGTTAAAAAAAACTTGAGGATGTGGAAGATCAATAACAATAAGTGGTGATGTGATAGGTGAAGTCGAGATTTTTAAATATTCTTTAAATATATTGATCATTTGAACAATAGAGCAGGTTAGGTTAGGTTAGGTTAGGGTTTTTGCATAGATGTAAAACATAGGATTAAGTGTGGTTGCATGAAAGAGAGAAGCGTCAGATATTTTATGCAATAAGAAAATTCCAGTGAGGCTGAAAGGTAAATTTTAAAGGAGTGTAGTGAAACCAACTATAATGCTATATGGTTCAGAGTGTTGGGAGGTTGGACAGAATAGAACAGAGTATGAGTATTACGGAAATGAGAATGCTAAGATAGATGAGTGGAGTGACAAACGAAGATGGAATAAGAACTGAATATGTGAGAGGTAAAATTGGTGTAGCATTTATAGTGGACAAGATGAGAGAAAATATACTGAGATGGTTCAGGAATGAAATGAAACGAGAGATAACAAATACAGTAAGAGTTGTTATGAAAATAACTTCATTGAAAGTAAAAGAGAAAGAGAAAACCTAAAATGGAGATGATGGGATACAAATGAAAATGAGTGCCGTTGGTGTATGCATAGGAGATATAAAAAATTTAAACGAGTGGAGGTTAAGGACAAGGGTGGCCAACCCTAAATAGTTGTTAGAAAGATGAATGAGAAAAAGAAGAAGATTTATTTATCATTAAAAATTATAATACCTATATTTGTGTATTGATTTTAGAACAATGGAACAGCTTCAACAAGATTTATGTATGCCTAGAGAACCTGAAATTCCCTTTTCAAAAATAGAATCACAAAGTCAAGATGATCATGCAAGTAAGTACTATTTTAAAAATTAATTAACACATTTCATGTTGTGATAACAAAATTGTCAGTGATTTAAACTAGTACTGTCATAGTTATGTTTAAACATTACGTCTATATAAGAGAGAAGTATTAATAATTTCAGATTTTTATAAGTCTTTTCTTCTCAAAACATCTTTTATTTTAGAGAACACTTAATAAATATAATTAATTCAATATACATTGAATAAAGAATTTATTAAATTTTATTCTTGAAAACAGGTTAATATAAAAATTTTTGTTTATGATAAAATGTGATTTATTTTTTGTAATGAGATTTAAATGATCTGACTAGTTTGGTCTTAATAATTATCTTTCTTTTTATGATCATCTGGTTAGTAGTTGGCAGTGAAGGCGGTTTCTTATCCCCCCCTCCATCGAGACTAAATTTATATTGGTGGCTATGTGTTTACACACAGCTGTTTTAATCCACAACTCCTAATGCTCCCCAAAAAAAAGAAGATTCAATATGAATTTTAAAGATTGAGTTAAGATTTTCATGGTTTCACTACTGGACTATAGTATGGTTATTCAAAAATAAAAATAAAGTTATTTTGAAAAAACTAATATAATTTACATAACTTTAAAAACAGTTAAAGTCTATTTATACATTTAAAATAATAATTATTATTTGTTTAGAAAACTCTCTTTTCAAAGAAAGAGTTATCCAGTCATCACAACAATGCTCAGTTGGATGGGAAGATCCAACTGAACAACAAGAAAAAGCTAGAGTATGTTTATAGAGTTTTTTAAAAAAAAAGTGTTCCAATAAATATTTTATGCATTTTAACTATTATTTATTTTGATTTTCTTTCGTTTTAGTTGAAGAATCTGACCGAGTGCAATAAAAAGTTCATTTTAACTAGCATCAATTCCAATGTAAAGTATTTTAACTACACTATTTTTTTTACTAAAAATATTAACAAACATTTTGTTACAAAAGGACCGACATAAGTATGAGGATGCTATTAATAAACTTGGTGCTCAAGTATTGCAAAGTGCATCTTTTTGTGAAGATGTTACTCATGTTCTTATGAGTCAACCCAGTAAAAGTGAAAAATATTTGTGTTCACTTGCTTCTGGAAAATGGATATTACATCCAAGCTATATCGATGCATGTTTAGAGAAGAACTGTTTTTTACCAGTTAGTAAAAATATAAACTACAAAATTATTATTTATAACCACATTTTTAACTTTGTATTGTAATTTACAAGATTTAAATATATTTCTATACGTAGGAAGACAAATATGAATGGGGTAATCCTTTGTCTGATTTATCTTTGTCTACACCATTACATGGAGCCGGTTATCGTTGGCGTTCTAAAATTAGTTCTGGTCAGCCTGCAGCTTTCAAAGGTATGAAAGCCGTATTACTGACCTCTGAAATTAGATATCAAGCTTTAAAACGTCTGATAGAAGCGGGCGATGGAGAAATATTACATAAAAAGTAATTATATTTCACATTCGTACATTCATAAAGCTCCCTCTTGAGAAACAATATGATAGTAAAATTGAATATTGATATTTGTTCAATAAAATATGGAAATAGCGTATAAAATTATATAACACATTTAGTACACTAGCGAATTAGTTAAAATATTCAAAAGCAACTTTGAACTTATTGTATTTTTCAGTATGAGAGCATTATTGTTATTTATGTCTTATTTTAATTTTTAGTTTCATTATTACTTTTTATTTTGTCTAGTGAACTATTGAACTCGACACATTGTATTGTGGATCATGGCCATGGTGATATACCTGTTCCTTTAAATGAAATTGCTGTTAAAGGTATATTACTATTACCAGCACCATTTTTAGCTGATACCCTTCTTAAAGATCCCGCACCAGATGCTAAAAAATGTTTAATACCTGAATACCAAGCATTTTATAACAGATTGGCGCCCAATGTATAAAATATGTTAATTCAAATCACATAATTTGTATTCTTTATCTTCATGGACATTCTATATCTTATTATTATTATTTTTAATATATTTTTTAAATACTTATGAATTATATAAGTTGTATTCAATAAATTGTATTTCATGTGTTTTGTTTTATAGTTTTGAACTTGCATGTTACCTGGATCAAGTGAGCAATGCATCACATTAATGTTATTGAAAATTAATTGGTATTACACCTTTACAGTCTATTTAATACATTAAAAAGTTTATTCTTTTTAATTAAATTTTAATGGTAAATTATAACTAAATTTATTATTATCATAGATTAAATATACATATCTATGTATATTTAATTTATGTTATTATTAACAATATTATTAGATTTTATAAAATAGCAAAGGTTAATTAGGTCATTTGAATAATAACCATCTCCACTTGCTAACATAATCAGAGACTTGCATTAGCGTATCAATACTGGTTAAATATTATAATATATCAGAACGACTGAGAACTGAAATTTTATTTTGCATGTTCTATTGATTTTATTACGTTTGGTCATATGTTTAATAATAAAACAGAAATAATTATAATACCATATATACCTTACAACAATAGCCTTATACAAGATAGAGAATAATTCAACATTCTTATCGGAATTCCAATCAGGAATCTTTAATTCACCATTGGTCTAGCACAGTGGTTTCCAACCAATATACCACGGCTAGGGACGTTGCGATACTACCGATACTTTTTTTCGATACAAGTACTTTTTGTATCGATACCCATGGTTTCGATATTTTACTCATATCGATAAAAAAAATACTGGTATCGAATCATTTACTAATCGCCATATTGGTTCGAAATGAACAAACATCTTGAAATGATTATGAAGATAGATGCACTCACCAGACCCCCAATTTTAAATAGTTAGCCGAAAGAAAAATTTGTCACTTTTCTCACTAAACAAATTTATTTTTTATTTTTATTTTTAATTTTTTAAATATTGGAATATTAATTATGTTCTTAATATTTAAAAACAATAGTAAATAATAAATAAAATAAATAACGTTCTTATTACATTCAATTTTAAAATAATACTTATTGTCTTATTATAAGTTGAAAATATGTACTTAGAATCTTAATGACCCGCAAAAAATTTTCAGATTCCTAATGTGGCCCTTCAAAAATATTAATTGGTCACCCACTGGTCTATACTCAATACCAGGGATCATAGGCGTGCGCACGGGTGCAGCGAATGCTGCTTTCGCTGCACCTGACAATTTATCTAGGATTTAGTGGGCTGGTAGATATTTATTTGAAAGGTATACATAGAATGAATAATTATAAACATATTGAGTTTATAATTAAATTAAAATATAAATGTTCATCAATGTTATTCAAATGAAAAATGATATTATTTTATCAATACAAATCTAAAAATAGATGGATATTATTGGATAAATTCGACGTGCCTACACACTAGATTATACAGTATACAAATACTGACACAACCACAATGACAATAGCGCATTAACCATTCAACTAGACGTGCGGTGATACGAAAACGGAATAGATGCCATAATTAGTAATCAGTAATCACATAACCAAATCGACTATTATGTTTGTAATTGAATAACGATTTTTCACCGTTACTGCAGTCTTATTAAAATTTCAAATTGGTCCTCGTCCTAATGTTCTGTAGTTCTGTTAGTTATTGTCATGTCGACTAAACGACTTGGTGGTCAGGAAAAAGTTCGTGCAAAGCAAAGACTTTTACTGTTGAAGACTAGTGAAAATTGCCACAAGATAAAAGATTTTTTTTCAAATCAAAAAAAATCTGTAATAAAAGAATTAGGTGATTGCAGGTAAGTGATTTTCATTCATTTATCATTTTAATTTAATAGCATTCATATTTATTATTATTTATAGTAGGTACTAGATAAATAGGTAATTGATTTTTCATTATTAATTTTAGTTCAGTTTCAGTTTGGTATGTAGTTACGTTTAAAATTTTGATTATTATAATATATTTATTAAATCCTACTGTACCAAACTAGTATTCCATAGTAAAAACTTATTTAATATTTATTTGTTAGACACCATTTAAAGTATACTTAATCTGTGATAATTATATGATATATTTATATTTATTATAAGAATGCCAAATTTTTCCTATTTCATCTTGTTTGATAGTATCATTTTAGTCATTCTTATACTTATAATTTAATGTGTGAAAATTGTTGTTTGAAATTTAAATTAATTTTCTTGTTTTCTTAACAGATAATCAAAATTCAAAAGTTTTGTCGCATGAAGACTGAATGCCATCCAACATTTTATTTATTAATGCACAACTTAATGATTATGAAAACAATAATTTAATTCCATCTTCAGAGTTACACAATTCTAAATGTACAGGGGTTCCTGCAGGTAATGAATTAAACCTATTGATAAATTATGTATGAAAACTAAATATTCTAATAATATATATGTTTTTATTTTTTAGCTGGAAGTATTGAATCATGTTCTTTATTATTGATGAAAAATAATATATTGATCCATGTAGATGATCTAATAAATCCCCTTTCATCTAATCGATTTGAAGTTAATGAACATATAGGCTAAGGTCCTTATCGTCCAATTTTAGAAATATTTCCAAAGCAAAAACAAGGAAGTTGTATGCGTTCATTTCAGAAATCATGGTATGATTTATATGACTGGATTGAATATAGTCAAACAGCTGATGCAGCATTTTGTTTTCCATGCCGTTGTTTCAGTGGAAATTAAAACAATTGTTTGCAATTGGAATTAATTTTTTCCAAAATTGGTTTTAAAGGTTGGTACCGAGCACTTCATATGTTTAAGAGACATGATTTATCAAAAGCACATTTTAATAGTACAAAATTTCTGGTTCATTTTAAAAATTCTAAGTCAATCGATGAAATAATTGATATCAATAAAACAGTATGTCTTAAAAAAAGGGAGGCTGAACGTTTGAAAAATAGAAAATGAATGGAAAAATGAGTTGATGTAACTATTTGTCTTACCAAAGGTAGGTGTCCATTCCGCAGTCATGATGAAAGTATAAATAGTCAACAAAAAGGTTTATTTAAAGAGTTTATTCAAGTATTAAGTAAATATGATGTTGTTTTAAAAGATCACATTGATTTTGGACCGAAAAATGCTCAATACACTAGTAACAGGATTCAAAACTATATCATTTTTTCAATTCATAACGTTCTTAAAAAAAAAATGTATATCACATTAAAACAATCGTATATTTCAATAATTGCTGATGAAACATCTGATGTTGGACATCATGAGCAATTATCGATTGTAATAAGACATTTTAATTCTATGACTAATCGACCTTTTGAAACATTTTTGGTTCTAAAACATATGATATCAGTTAATGCAGATTCTATTTTTCAAACAATAACTGATGTTCTTAAGGATCAAATGAAATTAGAATGGAGTTTGGTTGTTTCTGTATGTTTTGATGGGGTGGCTACAATGGCTGGTAGTATTTCTGGTGTTTAGGCAAAATGTAAGGAAGAAAATAGTAAAATGTTGTATGTACACTGTTATGCTCATTGTTTAAATTTATCTCTAATTGACTCTATTTGTGACAAATCTAGCAATAAAAATTCTAACCAAAATTGAATTTTGTTTGATTTTTTTGAAACTGTTCAATTTGTTTTCTCATTTATTGAAGGGAGTCCCATGCGTCATGCTATATTTGAAAAAATCGCTAAAGAAAATGGTGCTCACGTACAAACATTAAAATCATGTTCCATTACTAGATGGACTTACTGTGCAGAAGCCGTTAATGCAATAAAATATAATTATGGTGTAATACTTCAAGCATTAAAAGCAATCAATGTAAAATGTTCAATTCCTGAAATGCGTGCAAAAGGCCAAGGTCTTCTACATCAACTTCAAACTTTCAATTTTATATTTTGTCTACATATAATGCAAGTTATCTTACAGCTAGTTTTGAAAGTAAGTTTTGCCTTACAAACACCAAATTTAGAATTGTTAATTGCGGTTATGATGATTAACTCAAACACTCAGTCACTAATTTCATTACGGAATGACTAACAACATTTTAAATCAATATTTGAAAATACAAAAAAAATGTGCTATGAAATGTATATCGAAATACCTGAAGTAAAAAGAAAAAAAATTTCTAAAAACCTAGAAGATAAATCTGAAATACAACATATATTTAAAAACAAATTTGATAAAATGAGAATTTTGATATTTTGTTAAAATTGGATATACTTATTAATGGATTAAAAGATAGATTCAAACAAGATACATTGAATTTAATCAATGCTATTGGTCTATTAGCGAACCTAGATGATGAAAATGAAACCTCAACATATAAAACATTACACACATATTCAATTTCAACTGAAGATTTATGCTGTGAAGTTAATCTTGTGAGATCTACTGAAGATATACCAAAAGGTACAAACTTTGGTTCTGTACACAAACGGCTAGATTGGTTAAAACAGTATGGTGGACATGACATTTTTAAAAAAAATTCTCACTGTCTAAAAATGTTTGTGACAATTCCAGTGATTAGTTGTAGCTGTGAACGCAGTTTTTCGAAATTCAACATTGTAAAAAACAAATTAAGGAATACTATGTCACAAGAAAAATTGGATGTGCTTCTTTTTTTGTTTGTAGAACAAGAACTTTTAAGTGATATTGATTTAAACTATGTAATTGATGAGTTGTAACATTTGCTTCCTAGTAACCGCAGACTTATATTGTAAATCTAATTATTTATTTTTATTTTACATACCTGACTCTTAAGAGTTCCAATATTATGACTTATGAGTAATATATAAATATACTTATTATTAATTACTTTATGCTTATAAGTGTTATTTTATTACATATGTGATGTTAAATATATTTATAAAAGTATAAATGAATATACTAAATTTCATAAAAATATTATTACTTTTTATTTACAATTTACTATATTTCTTATAACTATAATAGGTTAGTCAGAGAGTGATGAATCTATATGGAGGAGGGGATATACCATATAATGATTTGGGTACAAAAGTGATTATATAAAGTTATAAAATATTAAATTTTTACACAGTGAGGCTAAAAAGAATTCGGGGGGGGGGGCTATATAAAGGAAATAAGTGGGCTGCTTATTGCTCTTTAGGGCCGATTAAAAATGTATGCTGCACCCGACACAAAATCCTGCGCACGCCTATGCCAGGGATAGCAAACCTTTTGAACACTGCGTGCCCAGAATTATCTTTTTTTTTTTTTTATATATATAGAGCGTGCCACGAAAAAAATATTAAAAATATTATATTTTGTTATATTATAATTTGATTGTATAATTAATGTATTAGTATCAAAAGGTTAGTTTAGGTACATAATAATAATAATTATAATAATATTGCTTTGTTAATTATTTATTATATTATAAGTCCTATAATGTTATATATTATATAATATATAATAGTAAAAATGTTCGCGTGCCATCTCGAACACGCGTGCCATGGATTTGCCATCTCTGCTCTATACCATTATATTGTTATTTCCACGGAACAATAACCACAGTCCACAATACAATAGCGTTAAAGGTTTCCTCTTGATCGGAACGATTATTCATATAGGTCGTTTTTATATTTTACTCTTATTATTTTAATTTGATACGATACAACGAAGTAAAAGGATCAATATTTTTCTTTCGATACTTACTCATATAGGTTCGTTCGTTTCGATATTTTACTCATATCGGTATTTTCATTCAATTTGATACCAAGTAAAAATGTCGATACTTTTCTTTCGATACCACGTCCCTACACGTGATCTTTTTCGTCCGTCGGATATCGATGTCTTGTTTGTAGGGACGTGGTATCGAAAGAAAAGTATTTACATAATAAAATAAATACATTATTAAAATTATAAAAGTATTAAACAATTATTATATTTTATTTATATGTATTTATTAAAGTTGACTTATACTTGGTAATGATTAAGAAACACTATGCTTTTATTAAAATGTAATTAAATTAAATTGTCTATTGAATTTGCAAGCGCTTAACTCTTTTTTAAATCATTAACTTAAAGTGTCTTATAATTTCATCCAATATAGCATACGTAACATGCACAAAAAGACCAATTTTGATAATTGTAATTTGTTTTATTTATGTCAAAACCTTGGATATAAAGATATATTTAGATATAATTTCCTTGTATATGCACTTTATGGTTCTACAAGTAAATGTTGTAACCAAATTCAATTTAAAAGCCATACGATGAATGAAAATTGCTTCAGGGTGTAAGTCTCTTATTCTAGATTGAACACTAAAAAATTATATGATTTATAATTTATAGGCAATAATTATTTTTAATTTATATAAATAAATACTCAAGTAAAAAAAAAATAACTTTTTCCAATATTGTATCTAGTTTTTCTTAAATTTTCTGCAAAGAATGAATACATTTAAAGCAAAAAATAGTATTACAAGATCTAATATATTCTAGCCATTTAAATTCCCTGTAGTATTTAGCATTAATACTTCTATTCTGAGTTCAAAATGTTGTTAATGGAAATATCTAAAAAATATAAATTCTTCAATATGTTCTTTGTAAAACAAAATAATGTAACACAATATATTAAAACTATTTAATATATTATGTTATTGATCAAGAATCGAATTATTTCTTGTTTTATTCAAATTATAAATAATAATAATAATAATAATATATTTATTTTGCAAAACGACAAGTGATACATTATATAAGTAAGTAAAATAATTATTTGCAGCACCCCCTAAAAGCAAAGCTTGTGCTGGGGGAGCGGTTCTTATATATTTACTTAAAATTAATACATAAGCAATAAATTAGTAATATTTAATATTAATAAGTTGTAAAGTATATATGTAATATTAAAACAAGTATTAAAACAAGAGTAAAGATAAGAGTATGAAGAACAAAATATATTATATTTAAAAAAATAGTGTTGAAGTTAACAATTAATTATATAATAGACAGATCAAGTTTTTTAACATGCTTTTTGAATTACTTAAAATTATTAAAATGGCTAATGTTGATATTTAGGGTTTGACACAGTTTTAGACCGTTATACAAAACACTCTTTTGACTAAAAACTTTATTATAATTAGGCAGGCATATGTTAATATTATGTTTATATCTTGTATAATGATCATGATCAAAAGAATTAATTAAATGTTTATTTTTATAAAGTACAACAAGTGTATTAAAATTAAAAATATACCTAAAATCCATAACTTTTAGTTCTTTATAAATTAATGTAGTACTTGTTTGAAATGAAAGATTTAAAAGATATTTAATAATGCAGTTTATAGTTGTTAATAATCTAGATAGATGATTGTTGTAAGTTCCTCCCCATATTGCTATACCATAAGTAAAAACTGATTGTACCAAGGATAAATAAATAATTCTTTTATATGAGTTATTAAAAATATATTTGACTTCTTTAAAAATGAAAAAGAACTTACGTAAAATATTGTTTAAGTAATTGATATGACTATCCCATTTAAATCTACAATCTAAAATAAGGCCAAGGTATTTTACCTCCTTAACATTTTCAAGAATAACACATTGCGACTTACATGTATTGCTAAAAGTTGAGACACATTTTAGTGAATGGACTATTAATTTGTTAGTATTCAAAGTATTACACTTTTGTGGATTAAACAAAATGTATTTGGATTTCAACAAGTTTAGTTTTAATTTATTTTTGCAAAACCAGGTATAAATATTATTTAGGATTTTATTTGCTTCATAATACAAACTATCTGTTGTTCGTTCAGATAATAAAATTGCAGTATCAGCAGCATAGCTTAGAATTTCGGTATTTAAATTAGTATTGATTATAAGTAGATCATTTATAAAAATTATAAATAATAAGGGACCTAGAACTGTGCCTTGTGGTACACCACAAGATACTTCTAGAATATCACTATATTTATCATTTAGTTTAACTCTTTGAGTTCTATCACCTAAGAAAGATTTAATTAAATTATTAGGTAAACCACGAATACCTGCGTTTTCTAATTTAAACATCAATAGCTTATGATTCACACTATCAAAAGCTTTCTGAATATCTAAAAAAATACCCATTACTTTATTATTATTATCAATATTATTCCTAACAAAGTTGTCTACCTTAAAAAGCGCGTCTATAGTAGATAATCCAGGCCTGAAGCCAAATTGACATTTGGAAAAGAAACATTTTTTATTTAAAAAATCAAGTAATCTGTTTTTTATACATTTTTCAAAAATTTTTGATAATGTTAGAGATATGGATATCGGCCTATAATTGCCACACTCTAGTTTGTTACCTGCCTTAAATAAGGGAATTACAATACATTTTTTGAAATTTGATGGATATTTACCTGTTGAAAGAGATTTGTTGAAAATAATTGACAATGGTAATGAAATGGTTTTAGATATTTTTTTTTAGTATGTAATTAGACAAATTATTTTCATAAAAAGAGTTATAGTTTTTTATTTTATTTAAGTGTAACATTTTTTCATCACTATTTATTGGCTTAAAAAACAAACTATCATTTATAATTTCATGGTCATCGGATACATGGTTTATGTGTTCAATTTCTAAATTATTCCCAACATTAATAAAATATTCATTTAAAGTATTACAGATTTCTGTTTTTGATTCAGTATTACAACCATTTTTCATTGTTATTTTATTAATATCACATGTTTTATTTTTAATTGATTTACCTATTACCTCATTAATAATATTCCATACCTGTTTAACATCAGACTGAGCTCTTAATAATTTACCTTGATAAAATAATTGTTTAGCTTTTTTTATTAATACATTTAATATATTTCTATATTTACTATAGAATTGTTTAAAGCGTGTATCAAAAGGCCTCAATTTTAATTTAGCAAACAATTTTTCCCTATTTCTTATAGAAGTTATTATACCGGTTGTTATCCATTCTTTTAATTTTGACATTTTTTTCGATTTCAATTTATTTACAGAAATAGTTGAATGATAAATAAATTCATTTATTTTAGAATTAAAAACTTCGAGCATAGAATCAACATCATCCAAAGACATAGTGGAACACCAATTTTCTAAAATAATTAATTTATTTAAAAGTTCGATATTTATTTTTTTTATATATTTTACATTTTGACAATTATTTTGGACTTTAAACATTTCGTCCGATAACATCAGTGTTGTAGCATAATGATCAGTTATATCACATCGTAATATGTTTGAACTAATTTTATTTGATTCTACATTTTTAACAAATATATGATCAATGCAAGTATTTGAGGACTCAGTGACTCTGGTAAAATTATTTATACATGATATGTATTCATGTTTAGCCAGAATGTTTAAGTAATCATTGCTAATATTTGAAATTTTCATTATATCAATATTAATATCGCCACATAAAATATTTAGGTAGTTATTTTTATTCTGAGATAAGAAAAAGTCAAGATTATTGATAAAATTTTCAAGATTATCATTTGGCGATCTATATATACAGATTAAAGAAAATAATAATTCATTAGATTTGATTTTAAGGTGTATTGAATTACAATTTAATATAACATTTTTTTCAATTTGAAGAATATATAGGGATTCTTTAATTAATATTGTGACCCCATCACTTTTATTTAACGTTCCTAGCGAGTTTATAGATATATAACCATTTAAAGTAAATTCAACATCATTCAAAAGCCATGTTTCACACAATACAATAATACTAAAATAATTTTTTATTGAACCTAGCAACATAGCTAGTTCATTGAAATGATTATTTATACTTC